CATCCCGCTTGGCCCCACCCCTGAGGGTTCCCCCATGTCCCACTGCTGCTGCCCCGCAGACCAGCCCTCCAGCTGGACAATCGTGACATTCCAGGCAGAGGAAACCACGCACAGAAGTCCGGGCAGGTCTCGGTTCCAGGGTCAGCACCTCCAGAGGCCAGCCGCGCCCACCTGTCTGTACTTGTTCCCTCCCCAGCACCGCTGCTTTCCACTGTGCCCCAACTGTGCTCCCCCTTGAACCCCCACTCTCTGGCCCCACCTCGTTTAGTGGTTGGTTCACTAATTTGTTCTGTCTGTCACCCCCTCTCAAAAGGGAGCCTTGGTTGCCTTCCTCGTCCTAGCCCTCATCCCAGCACCTGGCCTGCTAGGAGAACGCACATCTTTTTTTTGTTTGTTTGTTTGTTTGTTTTTCTGGTACTGGGAATCGAACTCATGACCTCATGCTTGCCAGGCAGGCGCTGTGCCGCTGAGCTAAATCCCCAGCCCCTAGAACGCACATCTTGCTGGAGAGGATAAATGTCTGTCTGTGAGGCCACCAGCTGGGACTGAGGTAAGACATGTTACACAACTCACCTGCACCCCGGCACGACCACAGCCAAGTGTCCTGTGGCTTCCAGACCAAGCAAGCTCGGTGCAGGAAGTTGGGCCACTTCCCGGCCATCCCGTCCTTCCGGCACAATGGCTGCCTTAAGACGTGGCGTCTTCAAGGTCCTCAGCCTTCCCTTGCCCTAAAATTCCAGTGGTGGCGAACCTATGGCATGGGTGCCACAGCGGGCTGTTTGTATCATCGAAAGCTCTACGGGGTTCGCAGTCACTGCAGCCCTTTTCAGTCTTGGCTTCTAAAACAAAGGAGAGGTGAACAAAACCTGCTGGGCCTCAGGCTCTGTCAGAATAACAGCTAGGCCACAGGTAATTAAGAAGAGTAATTTGAAGACTCTCAAATCAGACAGTGGAAACATTCATAAGCCAGTCCGCCTAAACAGAAACTTGGTGGAGTGGGCTGGGCCTGCCCAGCCTCTAACCCAGGGAGGGAAGGTGCTCGCATAGCCTCGGGGTGCGGGACGTGGGAGAAAAGGGGCCTGGGCCCAGATCTGGATCTGAGCACCGCAAACATGGGCGGGGGCTGGGCTGAGGGACTTTCCCTGACTCTTCCTCCCAACAAAGTGAAGCCTGTTACTGGGTGAGCCAGAAGAGGAGTCAGGTCGGGCAGAGTGTTTGTCTAGCAGTCAGGAGGCCCTGGTTCCATCCCCAGTACCACAAGAAACAAAAATAAAAACCTTACATAACCTTATCCTGAAAGATGTTATTGTTGCAGTCTCTCTTTTTTTTTTGTGGAGACAGGGTCTTGCTATGTAGTCCAAGCTGGCTTCAAACTCAGAGTGATCCTCCTGCCTCAGCCTCCTGAGTGCTAGATTACAGGTGTGCGCCACAATGCCCGGTTGTAGTGTCTTCTTATAGTGTGTTATGGTTTGTGTCTAGATGTTCCCCCAAAGCCTCATGCAGTCATAGGTGGGGCTTTTTCAGAGATGGCTGGATCTCATATGTGACTGATTCATGGTGCAATGCTGGGATTAAGGGTGTGTGATTACTAAACCTGTCCACTGATTGGTCTGGCACCACCCTAATCCCAGTAGCCTAGACAGAATACAAAAGGGGCAAAAAAAAAAAGCTGCTAAGGTGTCTTGTCTGCTTTGCTGCCTTCTGTCTACCATGAACTGTGGCCCTCTGCCATGTGCTACACTGCCTTGGAGCCAGCTGATTATGGACTGAAATCTCTACAAACTGTGAGCTAAATAAACCTTTCCCCCTTTAACTTTGGGTGTCGGGTATTTTGTCTCAGCAATGAGAGAAAAGTAACTAAGCCATGGTGTATTTTGTCTTTATCAGAAATGTACTTTAAACAATAAACATATGATGATAGCATGACTGCCTTTCACATTGGTTTTTTTCTCACCTAATAATAGATTCTGAACATTTTCTCCTACCATTAAATACTATGCAATAGTGTTAATTTTATGGCTGTACAGCATTCCACGGTATGACTGACTGACAGCCAACCAATCCCCTGTCCTTGGACATTTAGGTTGTTTCCAACTGGATCAGCCCAGCAGTGATGATTTGTGAGACGCACACACGATCATTTCATGAGGACTAATTTCCAGAAGCAGAATCTCTGGGTTAAGCGGTTTTTCTATGAAGCTGCTTTAGACAGCATATTTATCAATTCATTTTGTTGGGGAGGAATTTGAGACAGGATCTCCTACCCTAGGTTGGTCTTAAACTCACACTGATCCTCCTGCCTCAGCCTCCCGAGTGCTGGGATTACAGGTGTGCACCACCATACCCAGCAGCATATTTATTTATTTGAAAAGCATTAATAAATGTTGTCTACTACCTTATTTTTTGATCTCTTCACCTATGTGTACTGGTTGTTGTAACACTGAGCTAGAGACAGCGCACAAAATTTACACTCAAACCCAAATTTCTACCTTCAAAGGAGACTTGTATTTTTTTTTTAAGGAGACTTGTATTTTAAAGAAACTCTTTTACATTTTTGATTGAAAAAATATAAAGCAAATCAATTGAGTGGAAACAATTATCAACAACAGAAAATTAAAGAAGGTCCTGATTTTTCCTATTGTCCTCTGTTTTGTTTGTTTGTTTGTTTGTTTTCTGGTACCAGGAATCGAACTCACGACATTGCGCTTGCCAGGCAGGTGCTGTGCCGCTGAGCTAAATCCCCAGCCCTTTATTTATTTTTTTTAAAGACAGAGTTTTGCTATGTAGTTCAGGCTGACCTCTAACTCATTTATGTAGCCCAGGCTGGTCTGGAACTCACGGGGATCCTCCTGCCTCAGCTTCCCGAGTGCTGGGGCTACAGGCATCTGCCACTGCATCCAGCTTGTCCTCCTTTAAAATAATTTAATTTATTAAATGTGCCACACGTGGGGCTGAGGAGTAGCCCAGTGGTAGAGTGCTTGCCTAGCATGCACATAGTGCTGGGTTTGATTCCCAGCTCTACAAAGAGAAAGAGAAATGTTTGCCATGTGTGCATTTATATCTCATGGGTTAATGTAGCATCATACACTGCTGATGGCTACTTAGTAGCCTTTTGTAACCTTTTTCTCTATTTATTGCTTCCTACTATAGAAAATAAAAAAGCCTCAAATTCATTCTTTCAGACTCTCTTGCAGCTATGGGTGACGTAACTTTGTGCAACAGGGATCAAGGAGACCTTTGCAGGGATTCTGGGAATGTGGGGTTTTTTTGTTTTTTGTTTTTTGCCTTTTTGAGACAGGGTCTGGCTATGTAGCTCAAGATGGCCTTGAGCTCTCTTTGTAGCCCAGGCTGGCCTCGAACTCACAGCAATCCTCCTGCCTCAGCCTCCCGAGTGCTGGGACTACAGGTGTGTGCCACCATGCCTGGCGCTCTGGGAATGTTTTTGCCCTGCCTAAGGGAGAGAAGTTTCTCTAGTACCTGCACCTGTGCCATGAGGCTACACACCTAAGGATAAAA